TTCCTTCCTCTTTTAGCTCCTCTAGGATGGTTGAGAGAAAGTTCCTTTCTTTTGTTTACCGTGAGTTTACTCAGAGACCGTGAAAGTGAAAGAATAGAGAATGTCGTAACCCTTATTTGGTAACCGCTCTTTTATTTATTTGATGGGAGAAGGGAGGGTTTCCTTATAATTGTATTTACAATTATACTCTCTATGATTCTATATTTTATATTTAACCACCATCACATTAAATCATTAATTAGAGTCATGCTATACGTTATATAGGCCACAATAATAAGATTATTAAAATAATCTAACAATATAATCAAATACTCATACATAAGATAAATAATTACTACCTTTATGTGCTTTACATATTTTCAATTTTTTTTCAAATTAAATTTTCATTACGCTTTCATAACTTATTAAGCTCTTTAACAACTACCAGAATACCAAAAATTATAAAAGAAACTACTACCCATACAATGAGTAATATGTCAGAATTTTTATCATCTTCTCCATATTTTTACTGGAAACGTTTCATATTTTTTATTTAATATCTACAAAAACATTTTCATTTGTAATTACTCATACTATATAAAATAATTCTACATTTTTTTAAATACTACATCTTCTCTACAATTTTTTTACACTATATATTCATTATTTTTTTTCTTAACAAAATCTCTATAATACTATAAAAATTTAATTTAAACTAATAATTAAAAATAATTTAAATTTCATACAATTAAATACTACCCAGATGAGATTCTATAATTTTTTAAATTTACAAAAATTAAATCTCGTACTTAAAAAAACAAAGAAACAAAATTCTAAATTTAATCTCGTACTAAAAAAAATAAAGAAACAAAATTCTAAATTTAACTAACCTTGATAAACTTCTTCCTTACTTTCTAGTGGTGCGGTGGAATTTTTATACCACCAAGGCAGAGTGTATATATATATATAGCACTGGCTGAAATGGATAAAAGGTGCATGACTTTTGGACTATCAGATAAAACAATGCTTCGTTTCATGTGTCAGACAAGTAATATTAGGGTCTCTACACTTCTGATAATGCTAACATAATTTGACCATCAATAACACTATTGTCCATGACTATCCGATACTACTCTGAGAGACAACATCTATCTCAATCGCCACCGTCAAATTTATCTTTCTCCTTTTATGGTGATATACGCCTGATCTTCGCTACGTGTCAACTTTTGCACCTGTATTAGTCGTAGTGGGACGATAGAATAATAAAATATTATTAAAAATATTACATCAAACATGCAGTGGCAATTTTATTGCTGACTTGGAGAAAAATAACATCAAACAGGAAAACAGTATTAAACTTACCCTATTTTTAGAATTAGTTTTTTTAAAAATGTATTATTTAAATAAATAAGCCCATAAAATGTAATAATTCAAAAAAAGTGGTTAAATGCCATGAAAAAAGAGTTAAAATCAATAGATGACAACAATGTGTTAGAACTAGTTGAGTTGCTTGAAGATTTAAAATGACTTGGTTATAAATGGATCTTTAAGATCAAACAAAAATGAAAAGACAATATTGAAAATTACAAAGCTAGACTTGTTGCTAAAAGGTATACTTAAAAGGATGACATTAACTATAAAAAGACTTTCTTTCTAATTTCAAAAAAGGAATCTTTAAGAATTGTTATGACTTTGGTGGCTCATTATGACCTAAAGTTTCATCAAATGGATGTAAAGACTACATTTAAGAATGATGGCTTAGAAGAAGAAAGTTTATATGAACTAGCCAAATGATTTCTTATCCACGAGAAAGAAAATTTGGTATATAAGTTAAAAAAAGTTAATGTATAGGCTGAAACAAGCTTCCAAACTATGGATCTTAAGTTTAGTGATATCATAATATCATATGATTTTATAGAGAAAATTGTTGATTGATGTGTCTATATGAAGATCAATGGGAGTAAGTTCATTATTTTAATCTTATATGTTGATGATATTCTTCTTACTATTAATGGTGTTAGCTTGTTGCATGATATAAAAGAGTTTCTTTCTAAGAAATTTGAGATGAAACATTTAGGTAAGGCATTCTATGTGATTGGAATAAAAAAATTCTATAACAAACCACAAAGATTTTGTAATTGTCTCGAAAAGGTTATATCAAGAAAGTCTTATAAAGATTCAAAATGAAAAATGCTCATCAGGGATAGTTCTAATTCAAAAGGAAGATAAATTTAGTAAATTGCAATGTCCCAAGAATTAGTTAGAATAGAAATTAATGAAATCTATTCCCTATGCATCAATGGTTGGGAGTTTAATGTATGCTTAGATATACACTCGATCGGGTATTAGTTTTACTGTTGGAATGTTATGTTGATATCAAAGTAATCTCGGAATGAACCAATGGAAGACTGCAGAGAAAGTCTTTAGGTATTTACAAGACACTAAGGATTACACACTTACTCATATAAGATCCAATTACCTTAAAGTTGTTGGCTACTCAAATTCAGACCATGCTAAGTGTGTAGACTCAAAGAAATTGACTTTTGGTTACATCTTCTTATTAACTGGAGATGAAATTTCATGGAAAAGTAGAAAAGAATCCATTATTACTACATCTACTATGGAGACATAATTTGTGGCATACTTTGTCTTAGAGCTTAGTATAGTTGACAATATAGAAAAAATGCGAAGAATGTATTGTGATAATTCTACAGTTATTTTTTTTTCTCTAAAAATGATAAGTACTTAAGGAGAGTAAAACACATGTACTTAAAGTACTTATTAAATGTGGAAACAAAAAATGTCTATTGAGCATATCGGTATTTATTTAATGATAGCAGATCCGTTAACTAAGAGATTGATGCCCAAAATGTTTCCTAACCATATTAGAAGAATGAACATTATAAACAAGTCTTTATTAGCCTGATTGTATGGTTTACATATATGTATGAATTGTTTTGCTCATATTATTGTGATATTTAATAATTTAATAGAAGTGTTGTTTCTACTTATTTTACTTGTTATAGGAATTGTGTTATATGTATGTATGATTTAAGTATAATAAGATGTTAAGTGTTAAAAACACAATAAAGTTACAATTTATAATAAAATTGATTAAAGTTATTTGATTTGAGCTAATTTTGTGATAATTGAAAGGAATTATGTTGTTGAATAACTTGTAGTCATAATGATTCAATCATTTCAAATTAATTAAAGATAATAATTTAATAATTTCAATCTATAATACGTATTTATAGTTGATTGAATCTTGAAGTCGTCTTATAAATAAATAGAAAATTGTTAGGTATTTTAGTAATTTAATAAGTGACCATGTAACTTATGATGTAACTTTAATTAAAGAATTTAATGTGATGATTGTTAATTATAAAAAATAGGGTGAACGAAGGTATAAATATAAATACAATTAAAACAAACTTTTTCTCTTCTGATGTAAATAATAGAGCAATTATCGGAGCAAATTAATACACTGACTCATTTTTCGAGTCCTACAATGGTAAGACAACGTCACTTCCTCTCAGTCATCAAAAAAATTAAAAAAGAAATGAAGAGTTAAAAAAAAATTCTGAGAGATCAAAACTGCAAAAAGAATATATTAAGACTATAGATCCAGATAAAAATCAAAGATAAAGATCAGAGAAAATCTAACATATTTTACACACTAGCCTCATTCAATTTATGGATGAAACATGCTACAGTTAAATTATGAATCTAATCCTTCATATCATACACATGTACACAATGTATTGTTGTCTTTACAATAGACTAAACTTGTTTTCAATGAAACAAAATCCTTGGTAGCAGGCACATTAAGGCCGTTGTAATTGTAGAAAATTTTACCTTTGCAGTTCGGTCAGGTGAGCAGATGTATAGTTTATCACAAAATTCTAAAATCACCATTTTTGTGTAATAATCTTGATATGTTCTTAGATCTCTTGCAACAGATTGAATAAATTACACTTCAATGTACCTTCAGAAGTTAATAAAAACTAAGCAACATATCCTATTTTCCCAAAAAATTAACCGTAGTTGGAGTGGAGATGAAAATTTTGAAACTTTAGCGAATACATATACCTTGGCAGAACCAGCTTTTAAAAAATGACAATTTACTAGCTAATTGAGGTAGATGTGCTTTTTTAACCCTGTTAATTTCTAGGGTTTTGCCGCTATTATTCACCAAAAACAAAAAAAGAATTCATGACTTGTATAAAAATAAATTAGCAAAACATTTTATCAGGAATATGATTTAGCATTTTATAATTAGTAAAAAAGAGAGCAAAAATATATTAAAAAATAATGCTCGAATAAATTAAAATAAAAAATAAACAAATTCACTGTAATTTTTTGAAAAAGTAAAAAATATATTAAAAATAATTATAAAATATTAAACTGATTTTAAATTTTAATCACATAAGTATTTTTAATAAAATAAATAAATAACTTGTGAGACGGCATCTTCCCGCTCTCACATTCCCAGTTTTAGGAGATTTTTTTTTTTTCTAAAATTTACTTCAAACAAACTTTTCATTTTTTTTCCTTTCTCTCTTCCTTCTCCCTCTCATCAAACATGGTACCTACTACTGTAGTAGCCACTTGCTTTAAAAATGGAGAGTTTTTTTGGTACTTTTAAAAACACCGGTGAAAGTACCATTAGTTTACCCAACCACTCAACTGCTCCCTCGCCCACGCACGTTATCCTTTTGTATTTTTCAGTTAAAAGAAGCCATTAATTAATAATTTTTTTAACATGTGTCAAATAATATATTAAAAAATTATAGGCACAAAGTTAAGTTGCATTGAGCTGTATCCCACAATAAAAAAAATATAGAGAAGATGTAAATTGAAAATTTAAATTTTAAAGTACACGAAGAACAGTATCCACGTAATATACATAAAACAAAATAACTTTTAAACATTTCTTTATGCACTCTTTATGTGTGTATATACATACACACGAAGGGAGACAGTGGGATAGTTGAAATAAACCATTGGAAGTAGCAGAGATGGAAGAAAATGGATGGGTGATATCCATTTCAATTCTCCTTCTCTTCATTAATTTTCTCTCAAAATCGATACTAAAGAGAGAAACAAAACACAAAAACCTTCCACCAACTCCACCAGCTTTACCACTGATAGGACACCTTCATCTCATAAAAGAACCACTACACCGTACTCTCAGTAACCTTACTCTCAAGTATGGCCACATATTTTTTCTCCGCCTTGGATCCCGAAACGTCCTCGTCGTTTCATCCCCTTCCTTGGTTGAAGAATGCTTCACCAAAAACGACATCACCTTCGCAAACCGTCCCCGCACGCTCGCCGGAAAACACCTCAACTACAACTGCACAGCGATGGGATTCGCTTCCTACGGCGATCACTGGCGCAACCTTCGCCGTCTAACGACCCTCGAACTGTTATCCTCCAACCGGCTCGCCAAGTTCGCCAGAATTCGAGAAGAAGAGGTGAAAATCTTGGTGAAGCAACTGTTCGAAGATTGCAAAGATGAAACGGTGTCGGTAGAGGTAGAGCTTAGGCCTAGACTAGTGGCGCTTTCCTTCAACATAATGGTTAGGATGATAACTGGGAAACACTACTATGGCAAAGATGCGGTTTCAGAAGAAGAGAAAGAGTTTCAGCTTCTGATGAAAGACTTGGCAGAGCTAAATGGAAGTGGAAATTTGAATGATTTTCTTCCAATACTTCAGTGGATTGATTTCCAAGGGATAGAGAAGAAGATGATTAAGGTGATGCACAAAGTGGATAGCTTCTTCCAGAAATTGATTGATAACCACCGCCAAAACAGTGACACCGACGCCGACTTCTTGAACGGTTCGAAGGACATGACGCTCATTGATGTCATGTTGGAACTGCAAAAAGAGGAACCAGAAATCTATACTAACCAAACTGTCAAAGGTGTTATTCTGGTGGGTAATTCTATTTCATTTTTATTTTGTTTGTTTATTTTAGTCTTTAATTTTTTAAATTTATCACTTTTTATCTTTAATAATAACGTAATTGATTAATTTTTTTTAAAAAATGTTATCACTAAAAATAATTTATTTATTTATTTATTCACATTTTAGTTTTTATGAAAAATAATTTCTTTTCTTAAGTGTGTACTTGGATGAAATATTTTACATGGGCAATTTATTTATTTTTTTAAAATTATAATTTTATAAATTAAAATTTATTGTTGGAATACTTAATTTTAAATATTTTTAGTTGAAATATTTAATTGAGTAAAATAAAAAATATATATTCTAAATTCTAATAGGAAGTTAGATTTTGAAATTTTTATTTTTATTTATTATGTGTTTTATTCATATTTTTATTTAATTATGATTAATTCATTGATTTAAATTTTATATTTTAATTAATTTTATTAAATATAGTAATATTTATGTAAAAATAAAAATATTTAATTATTCTGTTTAAATAAAACTATTCAAAACGAAAAAGTTCAATTATTTTATTCAAACAAAATATTTGAAATTAATAAAAATTTAAATGGCGAGATTTAAATTTTTAAATTAAGTATACAAACAATAAATTTTAATTCATATTATTGTAAATTTTTAAAAAAGTATTATATATTTTCACCACCTGTTTTATAAAATTTAATATGATTATGTTTTGAATTCTTAAAATTAATTTAATAATATATTTAATATTAAAAAAATGATGTAAAAGTTATCTTCACAACAAAACTTTTAAAAACTTAATACACTAATAATTTAAATATTTTAAAAATAATTAGGTAATGAAATTTAAAACGTTAATATGAACCTGGAAAGAAAAGGTAGGACTGTCAAATCTTTTTAAGATATATATAGATTTGAAATGTCTAATTAAAAAACAATTATGTCTCTTTCTTTACTTCAAAGATGAATACATAATAGTAAAAAAGGTAGAATCATTTAGCTATTTTGAAAACAATTCTATTTTTAAAATTATGAAAAATTAATATAAAATCCATTGTTATATATGGTTATTTATTTATATATTTATTGTATAAACATATCTATTTTTTTCTAAAATAATTAAACTTAAAGGGATTAATAAATTAAAACAAGACAAAATTTAAGTAGGTTATATATTTAAAGCATTATTTGATTATTTGAGTAAAATAAATATAAGTACTCCATAATTAATCTTTTAAGTTAGGGAATATTCACGTTTTTGATGTATAAAAAATATTTAAAAGTCATAAATTTATTTTAATTTAAAATATTTTTTTCTGTATCTGTAATAAGTATTTATTAAAAAATCAATTCGAAATAAACCTAGTAAGTAAAACACTAAAAGTATCTCGTAAAGGCTCTGGAACATGTTTTGTTTTTATAGTATGTTCCACAATCTCCTAATCCCACCACACTACTGACTTTGACACAAATTTTGTTTTTCTCATGGGGAGTTGGTTCGTGTCGCTCTCAATTATTTGCATTTGATGACTCACAATGTTGAGGGCATATGCTCTGGTTTATTTAAGGCAGAGTACACTCAGCAGCTCATTAATTAAAAAAGTTAAGCTTAAATTTTTTTAAAAATTTATTTAAATAAAGAAGTCAGTTTAAATTAAAAAAAAATCTTTTAAATTTATTAGATTGACGTAATTAAATAATTATATTATTTTATAATTTATATTTATTTATTTAAAAAAATTAATATATAATATATTATATATAACGTATTGTTATTGTTAAATAAGTTTATTAGTTGGTTGGTTCTATTGATTAATTAAATGTAAATTTTAGTATTATTTAAAGAGTTTAATATTAAATAAGCTATTAGGTCAGTTAGATTTCTAAGGAGATTAAGTCAAATTTTAAATTTGGCCTATATTAAATTATAGACTTAAATTCAGACTCTAGTTTTGTATAATAAATCAAATTTATTTAACTTTATGTCTAAATTAACCTAACTCATTATCAAGAAAAAATATCCTTTGAAAATAGCAACTCCACATTATAATCTTATTTTATATATATAGTCACTTTACTTGTTATTTTACTATTTTTATTATCACATAATTTTTATCATCTATTTTTAAGTTAATTATTTTTTAAATACATTTACACGTTATTAAGTTTATTACATATTCCTAACAAATACTCTCGAAATAATGCACAAGTAACATTATTTGTAATACTTTATAGATGATATTGACTAAACTAAAAAAAAAATTCGAATTGCACAACTGAATTATAATATGTGTATATATAAGTACATATCAAATAGATTATAAAAATATTAAAGTTTTATCTGTTAACTATTATTAATTATTATATTTTAGAAAGGTTTAATTTTTTTTTAATCTTGAAAGAAGATGAAGATAAATTAAGAATAAAAGAGGATAAATAAATATAATTTTATTAAAAAATAATCATGTATTAATAATTTAATATTGAGTAAAACTTTTGTTAATATAATTTTTTTTTTGCTATAATTGTCAATATACTAGTTTTTAATAAATATTATAATATTATTATCAGGCTCGTTCTTGACTTTTTTAAGGCTCTAAGCAAAATAAGAAATTAAGCCCATTTCAAAAAAATTATAAAATGTAATAAAATAAAATAAAAATATATGCCAATAATTATATTAAAATAATACGACTTTTTTAAGTGAATATAATTTTTTTAATAAAATAAAAAAAAAATTCTTTCATTCAAATAATTCATATGTTATAATTAACTGCAAAAATATAAAAAAATTATAAAAAATAGGTTTTATGAACATTTTGAGATGTAAAATCATTAATCATAACATTAACATCAATGTTTTCTAAAAATTTCTTCTTGATCAATAAAATTACGAGATCATTCAATCGTTCTTGTGACATTGATGATCTTAAGTAAGTTTTGATTAACTTTATCTTTGAAAAAAATTCTTTCAGCTGATGCTATAGTCTTTGGAATTATAAAAAAAATTCTATAAGTGATTAAAATATTTGAATAACAATCTACAGATTTGACAAACTCAAGAACTGTTTAATTTAAAAAAAAAATTAAAATTCTTCATGAGCTTTAATGCTAAGAAGAGTAGAATTTAGGAATTAAATGAAGTTTTAAATTTAGAGAAGTAAAGAAATTGACTACGTTTATGGCAAGTGAGATGTAAGAAATTAAAAAGTCTTTTTTATTTTTTTATTTTTTTTCAACTACAAACTGTAATTAAAAGTTAAAATTTTTTTTCATGTGAAAATAAAACACAATTTTTACTTTGAACCTTATACGGTCGCATTTTTAAACTACCCTTCGGACTTGATTATTATATATAATGTACATTTATACATATATTATATTAACAAATAATTATGTAGATATAGTATATTAATAAATATATCAAATGCTAGCATAATATCTTTTAACTTTAATAAATACAACTTTGATCTATATAGTTAATTTGTCTTAATTTTAGTTTTTCTCTTTATATTTCAATTTTTTTTGTAATCATAATTTTATTTCATTTTACTTTTTGAGTGTTAGTCCCTTCAATGGCTGGTAATAAAAGTCAAATTATTTAAAATTGCTGTTACTAAAGAGCAAATTTTTACAGTATATAAACTATTATCAAATTTGACACAACCTTGAAATAAAGTCTTAAAGACTTGAAGTGGTTTACTGATTTTTTTCATTAAATTAAATTGATATAATTTTAATTTATTTATAAAATTGAAGACGTTGAAAGAAATGTTAGCATTAAAATAAATATCTCATTAAATACATTGAATTATAACAAAAAATTAATTTTTTTGTCCATTAAAAAATTAAAATTACTAAAATGTAAAAGATGTATAAATAAATTTATAATTAACTTAAAGCTCAAAAGAGTAAAACCAGAATCGGCAGATTATATTAGACCCACCTTTTTTTTTTGGTAAAAAGAAAAAGAAAAAAGAGAAAAATTAGACCCCACCTATGAATTATGAAAACCAAATCCAATCCCTTTGACATATATTTAATAATAATTTATTGATCAGGCAATGATGTTTTATTCAATATCAAATGTTTCTAAATTTGTTCTTTGACAAATAATGAAGCACTTATACTAGACTATAATAATCAGGCAATGCTTGTGGCTGGCTCTGAAACTTCAGCAACTGCACTGGAATGGGCACTGTCACTTCTTCTCAATCATCCGAAAGCAATGAACAAGACAAAGATTGAGATAGAAACTTGTGTGGGACAAGATCAATTGTTAAACGAACAAGACGCTACGAAACTCAAGTATTTGCAAAACGTCATCACAGAGACACTTCGTTTATATCCAGTGGCTCCAAACTTGATACCCCACGAATCCGCCAATGATTGCAAAGTTGGAGGTTATGATATTCCACGTGGGACAATGCTATTGGTGAACCTATGGACCTTGCATAGGGACGCAGAGTGGTGGACAGATCCAACAAGGTTTGAGCCAGAGAGATATGAAAGAGGAGAAGGTGGTGAAAAAGTGTATGATATGATCCCATTTGGCACTGGAAGGCGAGCTTGCCCTGGAGCTGGTTTGGCAAAGCGTGTTATGGGACATGCGTTGGGTGCTTTGATTCAGTGTTTTGAGTGGAATAGGATTGCTGATGAAGAAATCAACATGGCAGAGGGAACAGGGATTACCCTACCCAGAGTTCAGCCCTTGGTTGCCTTGTGTAGGCCACGCCAAACCATGATCAAGGTTCTGTCCGATATATGAAGCACTTTGTGTCAACAGGTTGAAATTCACTTGAATATAAATTTAGAGGATATTTTAAACTTATTGAATAAATAAGTCATTACACTAATGTTGTTTTTTTTTTTTAATACTTATTTTATTGTGGATTGGCACTTGATGTGTCATTGCTTGCTATCCTATTAAATAAAGACTCGTTTATGTGGATTAAGTGAATTTTAATTTCCTCTCAGTTAATATTTCCAACATCAATTATAATTATAAATTCTTTTTTAATTGTTCGATTCATAAATCTTATTTCTAATTTTCTTTTTTTTATTTGAACGAACATGTTATCATTAGGTATTTACATTATCATTGATCTTGGTTTGTATCTTAAAATGTTTAGTAGTACACACACTTTATATATTTGAGAGAATCTTGATCATGTTGACGTAACCTACATAAGGCACCGAATATTTAACTGAGTATGGTAATCTTACCTCCTTTCTCTCATGTTAATTTCTCCATCTCCGATTATGCCTTGGGATAATAACTTCTTAATTTCTTAAATTTACATTGTCCCTTATATTCTTATTCTAGTTTCACTTCCTTCAAATAAAATGTATACTCATATATGCGACAAAAGCTTAATCCTTGTTTAACTAGCTTAAAATAGAATATTCAAATCCACAATAATGCTATTCAAACACTTGGATTTGGTGTTTATACCCAACACCGTATACCAACAGTTTTTGAATACAAGGTTGCATATTAGTTATTCTACACACGTGAACATACTGCTGAACTCAAAGTTAACCAAACTTAAAAAAAAAAAAAAAACTAAAACGTCATGTAACTCTCCCACCCACTGGCCTTTGGTTTCTCCTTTCTTCTTCTTCTTCTTGAACAAATATAAAAAAAAAAATTGAATTGTGAAGCTACATTGTTGCTGTCCTTCTTCAACAAAAAATAAAAAATAAAAATTCTTTTCTCACTCTCGAGAACTATTCATTGTTGCGTGACTCTCTCTCACTTGTTCTCTGCGGCCTACTCCTGAATATTTGCGTATTGGCCCACATTTGAGCCTTTGTGTTGGAGATAGGTTGAAATACTGGTTGGGCATTAATTGTCGCAGCATCACAAGTACTTTTAGTGTCCTCTTCTTTGGGTTTTCCACAATGTTGATGAGTACTCTAAAATCATTTTAGATTCTTCTATGTTATAGACAACGACAGTTAGTGAATGTAGTTAATTTCACATATTAAGTTAGTACATTTTTTACCTAGGTTCTAGTAATTTAGTGTATAAGCTAATGTTAAATCATTTTACATATATTTTCTGTTAATTCTGAGTATGATAACAATAATGCTATTATTTTAACTGTATAAAGATGATTATTCACTATAAAAATCTAGTAATTCAATTTTTAATTTGATGGTAATTGAATGTAAAAAGTGGTAATATTGCAGGGTGTACACAAATTTTTTCTACTTCTGTAATATATGTTAGTGAACTGACTTAATTAATGGCTAACATAAGGTTATTAAATTTTTGTCACCAATATTAGGCCATAAGTAGGAAACTGCTACTAATATCATAGAAGATGTGTTGTGTTTAAACTGTATGAAGATGGTAATTGACATATAAACCTGGTAATTCAATGTTTAATGTGATGGTAATTTTAATATGAAACTGGTAATGTTGTAGGGTTAACACAATTTCTTTTCCTCTTATATAATATGTGTTATTGAACTTATGAAAGCTTATTTCTTAAGTTGTCACCAATATTAGTTGATAAGTCTAAAATTGCTAGTAATATGATAATAGTTGTATTCTGTCTGAACTGTATGAATATGGTAATTTAGCAAATAAAGCTGGTAAACCAATGTTCAATGTGATGGTAATTGTAATATATATATACTGGTAATGTTCGGGTTGTACACAATTAAAAAATGACGCGAGGAAAAGGACGTGTTGTTGAACAAGCAACAACCTTAGAATCAGACCAGTACTTTGATCCTAATGAAAATACTGATTTAGATAAAAATGATTCTAGTGATGAAAGTAGACAAGTTATGCATAATAATAGGACCCGTCAACTGTCAAAGAAGTAGACAAAGAAGAAATATGGCAGCAAGATATGTATTCATCAAACTTGTGGACCATTTATCATTCAAATTGAGGTTGTATGTTTGATAGTTTAATTGGAATGCATGTATACAGGCTGTATTCCTTTGTCGATGCTCACCAAATCATTTACAAACTATTTGTAATATCTTGACAAAAGAACAACGAGACATAGTCATTGATATGGGATTTGGAGGACTTTTCCATGTAAAATGTACAAGACTTGATAGGAGGGTCTGCTTAAAATTGGTAAAGTCTTTTCATTTAAATCAATTGTGCATATACGCAAAGGGAGAGTAGATTTCAATAAGCTATCACGATGTAGCCTAAGTTTTTGGGCTGCCAGAACATGGTTTGTACATATTGCATAAGTTAATTAATCTAACAATTATTACTCCCGAACTGATAAATCTAATATTTCAAACTTGAATATAGGATTGGACATGTCAGACTTAGTATATATAGATTTTTAGAAATTAGGGTATGAATCTTTTGCATAATTTTAGATTCTTTGCCACTTTTGGGAGCATTTTTGCAGAGCTTGGGATCCTTGGGTGATAGCCAAGGGCAATCTTAGGGTTTGATTTACAATTTCTTCTTAAATTTCCTTTAATTCTTGCATTGATGTCATTGAATTCCTTTATCTTTCATCTTAATTTTGTAAGACCCGTCCTCATGGAGGGCTAAACTTTCTTGCAATCCTCTTAGTAAGTTCATGTATTCTTGAATTCTTGGGTATGAATGTCAATATAATTCTCTTTTCTTCATGAATTTATATTCCCCAACTCTTTGAATTGAATTAATATTTGAATGAGGGGGACATTGCTTAATTAGCCCTAATTCATTTTAATGAAATTTGTAACTTAGTTTGCTTAATCCTAAGTTAATTTCTAAGGTAGTGTTATCTTGGGGATGAGAGATTGGAGCCCATATAAATTGCTTAATTCGTATGGAAATCTAAGGTTAATTCATGCTTTTTGAGTTATCCTAATTTAAATGAAGAGGAAAAGTATTGAATCTTAAGAGGGATAATGATAGAATTGCATGAACAAACTAAGGATTGCATATTTCATTGATTGGATTCATTAATTTCATCACTTGCCTTTACATTAAAATTGGAATCACACAAAACCCCCTTGTTTTAATTGGTTTCATAGTAAATGTTCACAACATGTTCAATGTATGTTACAAACTAAAGTTTTTGGAGACAACCTAGGTTTACACCCTAGATTACATAAATTTTTCTGCAAATTTTGATGAAGGTTAACGACAAATCTTTTTGCAAAATGAAATGAGAAAATATTTCGTTCATTAGCCACCGTAGCGAGAGTGTCTTGCTGTAGTGACAAAGCAATAGTTTGTGGTGCATTTCTGGGTACAGTCTCGCTGTAATGAGAGGGTCTCGTTGTAGTAAGAATTTGCAGAAATCAAGGTGCAGTTTTCTCTGATATTTTCATTATAGCGACAGGGGGCATCGCTGCAGTGAGAGATGCCTCTCTCGATGCCTCGCTGCAGCGAGAGTGTTGCGACCAAAAGAGGATTTAAATGGGTTAGGGTTTGGGGAAGTTTCATTTCTCACTTTCTCTTTGAGATTTCTTCAATTCTTTCACTCCCAAACCCTATTTCACCAATTAAATTGCCTCCAAGCTGCTAGGAGCAAGATTGAAGGTTAAATTTGTGTAGAGAACACTTGGAGGTGAGTTTTAATGGTTAGGGTTTTGGTTTCTCATCCTCATCCTCTGATTTCTTGGCTTTCTTGGGTTCTCATGGGGTTCTTTCATGTATTTAGGTCAAAGTTTGTGTAGGGGAGCACTTACCTTGTTGATTTGGTGTGTGGATCTTCATTTGAGGTAAAAGGTCTTTACCATATGTCATTGTGTTTAATTTACTGTTTATTTCGTTGAATGTTGTGATATGAATGAGATAGAGAGTAAGAAATGCGTGATTTGATGAAAATTATTGTGTGTTTGGAGTGAAATGTGAATTGATTTTGGGGTTGACATACCCTTGATTGAGAATGTGTGTGAGCATGTTGAGGAATGATGTAAATGGTTGGAAATGACATATGTGTTGAGTATTGTGAATGAATTATGGGTCTGTGTGCCGTGTACTTTAAAGGAATGTGGGCCTCTGTGTTGTGTAATGTGAATAAATGTGGGCAAAGTATGCCGTGTATGATGTGTTATGGATGGTTCAGCAATAAACTGGAGCTGTGAAAGATGGGGACGGTAGAGATACCTTGGGGAAGAGAGAGTGGTGGTGACACCAACAGTGAGCGTGGGTGCACCACATACCTTTGCTGAGTGACCTGTGACTGCTCACGCGGTATCCATGAGGTGGGGGTAACCGACGACCATTCATGGTGTGAAACTATGATCACAGTGCTACAGTGAGCGTGGGTAGGTGCACTAAGCGCATGTGTGTGCAATGTTGGTGCAGTGAGTGTACCGGTTGTGTTTTGAATTGGAATAGATGATGAATGATGATTGTGACTGAGATTGAGATGCTTGTCTTGTGGATGCATGATTTAAATTATGTTAGTAAATATGTAGTATTTGAGGTGAGTCTCTATGTTTATGTGTGTTGGATAGTGTAGAGTACTCACCCTTACATTTATTTTTCAGGTGATCAAGACGATCAGCATCGGACTTAGTGAAGGAAGGATAAATTGCTATAAGACTTAGACTGTAGCTTAAAATTATGATGTAACTGAATTAGTCCATTAGCAGTTTTTGATATAAACTTGTAATCCTTTATTGTTTTAAACTATTTTATGAAACTCTATGATGTGATCTTTTATTTAAATAAAAATTTTATTACTCCTATTTTGCAAAAAATTTTACTTGGAAATTAATTTAAGGTGTTACAATCATGACAATGGGACGTAGACGACAACTCTGTAACAATGTATAGTACAATGTATCATTTAATGGTAGTTCTGTTATGTTGTTCTTAACTTCCCCTGCTGCTAACATAGTGTGTTGGTTATGCTTAGGTGGTTAGCTTGGCTAGTGCAATCTTGAATGATACAAACATTTCCCCAAGTTCAAAGTCACGTTATTATTTGTCTTCATACTTCATGGTGATTGAAACTTATTTTATTTTGGTATTACATCAATATCTTTGTGTCTTTGGTGTAATTTTTTTTCATTTATCTAACTGGAGGATTGAGTAAAAGTTGATCTTAATAATTTCATGAAGGATAAGCATTTGCCATGGCGTGAATTACCCTTTTTTTTCTGTTAATCAGCCTCAACTTCTGAACTACAATTTGGTATTTTAATTGAAGCCATATATTGTGTATTTGCTGTGTTACAATGTCGCAACAGACTAATGCAAATCTTCTTGTGTTATAGATATTTGCACCAATCTTGTATTCAAAGCATTGGTGGTGCTATGTGGTGGACCAACAAAAGATGAAGTTATACGTCTTAGATTCTATGTACTCACATCACATGGGAAAGATGGCAATGTTAGATCAATTGCGGTGTGGAAAATTTGAATTAGTGTCATATGATGCATGTTTCATACTTATAGTTAATGATAAAGCTGAATAATAATATGACATTGTAGGCTAAACGATTTGAGGAGATATTCACATTGATTGATCAAAACTTTGCCTCTATAAATGCTCACCTTCAAATTGAGTACCCAAGTGTCCCAAGACAACATAATGGGTGA